AAACCAACAGACCTGATTCAGCTTTTGATTTTAGTTGTTATCTATAAAAGTTCAGTTGGTTCATTTTTTTTACATAGGATTGGTTAATTCGGATTTTTCAAGACTGAACTAACCAATTGCTCACCCCTATCTTTGAAGAGCGATAATTTCATTTGCAAGAGAATGGATAGTTGTTGAATAACAATGTAAACAGATATTTACCCAGAAAAATTGAATAGCATAGAATAAGCCATAAGAAATCTGTACAAACCTCAAGCTCTTCCCTTTCAAAATGTAGAACACCAATATTGTTGAGCACTTCTACTGGCACTGCTTGACCTCCCTTTTCCATAAGATTTCGTGCCTTTACAAATATTTTGAGTTTTTAAAAAATAAATAGCAGACAGAGAAGATAGTACTAGAACTTCACTAAAATTTATCCAGAAACAGGAATATCAAGAATTAGGTAACAGTCCATAAGAAGGAAGCCCATACTGTTTTGAAGGCATCAAGAGCAGCTCCTGTGTCATATGAAATTAACAACTCCCCAAGATCAAGAAATGCCTGTGCAGAAGTTAGAATTAGAAACTGTGTTACCAAATAATACTAAACATATCTTGAGTTTAATTAAAACACATTCAATCTTGTAATCAGGAAAGTACAATGGCAAGATAAAAAATAAAAAAAAAAAGCGAAAAATGGCAAATCCTAATATCTGCCAGCTTATCTCTGAACATTCAGGTCAATGTTGCAAGAAAATTTCATGTTAAACCACTTCAAGACAATAGTACACATTAAAGTCTGAAACACAGTGCATTAACATTGCAACTTTCCTAAAATATTGAAGAAGAATATAAACTACCTGTGCATCACGGGGATCAATTTTTGTGGCCTTTCTCATAAATTCTTGAGCTTTTTCAACCTGACCAAGCTGAACATATATGTGCCCAAGAGCCTAAAGGAAACAATAAAATTCAATAAAATAGAAAAGGAAAATCCTCAAACAGGAAAACACCTTAATAAGTGAAAAACCAACAACAATGCCATTTCTACTCACCTTCAGTGTCTCACAGTTATCAGGGTATACTTCTAAAACTTTTTCAAAGTTTGAAAGTGCACTCCTAAAATCTCCTGACCTAAGTTTTACTTGTCCCAAACCTGTCACAACAAAATAAAATTGACGGAAAATGAAAGTCCATGAATAACATTATTATAATCATCAAGCTTGAAAATTTCATGTAAATCATTTTTGTCACAGTCATCCAGCCTCACTCATCATCAAAGGGTTAGAAATTACACTCTCCATCCCATTGATGTTGTCATTTCCATGCTTAAAAATTGTCACATTCAAACTGACAACATGAATGGGGCAAAGAGGTATTACTGAACCAGTTAATTCAAACCTGTGATAATTGAGCTCATACTAAAACTAAAATTAAACAATCCAGTGGGATAATGCACAAAATTCAGTTGAATAATTGAACTCAAAAGTGTCTTAAATATGTTTTTTACCATAGTAAGGAAATACAAATTCATGGGGCTTATTGATTTCCTTGATAGATGCCATGTAATAGAACCCAGCTTTTTCGTAGTCCCCCTACACTAAGAAGAAATAACATTGATCCCATAAGTAACTTTAAGAATCAAAATCACCACAGTTTGACAAGCATGGCTAATTCAGCCAACTTAAATCAAAGTTTAAGATTGTAGACAAAAGATTTCACCAACATTTACATTCACCTATTTGAGATTCTGGACCACAAAGTAGGCAAATATAGAAAACATTATTGTTATTCCAAGTTGAGTTGGTAAATTATCTGTCTAGCAGAACTTCAATAGTAGATAAAGGAAGAAGTAATCTTATTTTATCACATTGAACTGTCAAATGATCACTAATATAAGAGTAACCATGGGTGGTGACTAATGAGTAGGAACCATATAAAGGAAGAAGTCACTAAGATAGCTTGTTTTATTTAGCAGATACTCTAAAACTATTTCCTTTTAAGACAAAATCAGATCAAAAGGGAAAAAGAGAGATTGGCTAGCTATCAACAAAGAACAAGATATAATATCCTCACTTTTCCACAACTTTCAGCTCAAAGTAAAAAAAAAAAAAAAAAAACGTAAATAGTGGTCTATTAGAAGTATTGAAATAAAGGGATAGTATTTGAACCTTGCTATGATAAGAGCGTGCAAGATTATAATAAGAATGTGACTTGGTCGGTCCATGATTGGTGACAGCAAGAGCTGTTTCAGTCAGTTGTTCAACTAAAAAGTGTTGTCCAGTGAAGAAAAAGTGATTTGCTAGATAATTTAGTGCCATTGCACAGTAGGGATATATCTCAAAAGCCCTACGCATTTTGTCCATGCCTTTTTGAATCCCAGCAGCTGTGGAGACATAATAAAGCATCATCACTACACTAAACTCAGATAATAGAACAATAACCAAACCACATAGAACATCGATCATAAGCAGAGTAATTTTATCTCCCAGTCTACCTTCATTTGCTTGCAAATCCATAATTGCCAGTGCAACAAGAGCTTCAGCATTTTCTGAGTCTAACTACAAACGTTAATTTTTGGGCACAAAGAGAACAATCAGCAATGAACATATGGAACATGCCATAAATAACAGTAACTAGAAACAAAAACAACTGCAAGAGTTTCATAAAAAATAAATGTAATTGATTAAACCAAATTACCTGTAAAACCCGCTGAAATGCCTGTCTAGCTTTTTCAAATTGGCCCAATTTATATCGACAGAGACCGATACCAAGTCTGACAGCCCCAGGACAATAAGGATACACTTGCAAGGCCCTCTTGTTAAATTTATGTGTTATGTGAGTTAGCAAACATGTCATTATCTTGAACCCTCAAGTTAAAGAAGTATGAAATGCTGAATAAAATAAATGTAACAGACCTTGTATAACTCCAATGAATCAGAATAACGACCGCGATTGAACTCAACACATGCCTGAAGATACACACAACAAGTTATTTATGGAAAAAAAAAAAAAAAGCAGCATGTAAACATCTTAAGTTATGTTGGGTTCCTTCCCTGGGCCATTCCAGCCAGAACTTCACTTCTTTATAGAAGACAATGAGTTTGCTTAAAAATTTATCCATGAAATATTTATCAATCATTTAATGCAAAGCAACTATGGTCACTAACACAACATCACAAATTTCACAACTAAGAGTAGGGAAATCTCTCTGTATATTTGGTAATATCTTCAATGTAATCAACAAATCTAACCACTAGCATATTACATTAATATGAAAAAATGAATACTTAAATACACCTGACCAAGAAGAGCAGGAACATTATCTAGATCTCCTTCCAAGACAATCTTAAATGCAGCAAATGCCTGTTCTACTTCACCTTTTGCCAGGAGAAGCTGACCTGTGTGCGGTAGACATTGATTGAAGTTAAAAGCATTTCAAATAACATGAGTTGCCCAAACATTGCGAAACAATTCATGACCCTAATCGGAAGAAAGAACAAAGGTTATCAGCAAGTGAAGAATAAATTCATACATGAACTAGACTAGACATCAAGTATAAGCTGGTGTCAACACGAAAAGTAGCAAAAATATACTTCAAAATAAAACCCAGTTTAAGATTGATCACCCAATCCCTTGTCTGTACTGTAATTGGAACTTTAATTAGATATGCTATAATAGCATAACAAGGCCTGACAATGTTCACCTTTGCCAACCCAAGTCGAGGGCTCATGCATATCAATTCTAGACGCTTTATTGTAATATTGAGTAGCCAAAATAAAATGTTCCTCTTTCTCCCTTTGCTTTGTCTCAATTTTTCCAAGGTAGCTGTAATAAGCCCCTAAAGCATTAAGTATAGCAATCCTTTCGTATCTAACATCAGCATAATATTCATCGATTTCTGCAAAACAAAAATACTACAATCAAATCATGCAGATAACAATTTATCAGTTAAAACAAATTCAATAAAATCAGTAACATCGAAGTACCATCGATTTCTTCAAAACAAAAATAGTACAATCAAATCATGCAGATAACAACTTATCAGTTAAAACAAATTCAATAAGATCAGTAACATCGAAGTACTAAAGTAAGGAAAAGAACATGAAATAAGAAAACGCATAAATACCAGGACTGGATCCTTCTTCGAGAATTTGTCGAAATTGTTCAATCTTCCCTTGTTTAAAGTACTCCCTCTACACAATTAAGAAAAAGACCCTAAAATGTCATCATAACATGAATTGATCGAGAGGAATTCGCAAGTTAAACATGAAGGATTTTGAAGAAATTAAAAAAAAAAAAAAAAGAGACGAACCGCAATGATGAGCCAGAGATCAAGAGGAGCTTGTTCGGCTTTGAGGATATCAAGAATATCAGAAGCATCTCGAGGAAGCTGATCCAGAACAACCCGCACTTCCTCTTCCGAGTTCTGAACCGGTATATAAACACATGACATTGATTATCTGAGACTGGAAATTTGTGAGAAAACAGAAGAAAAAAATTCTAGATAAAACCTAGCTCTACCTCTGTTTGGCTATTTGTTTTTATTTTTTTTTATAACAAGGAGAGAGAAAACACTGTGAGTGAAGAGTGTAACTGAATACGGGGAAATTCGAAGGGCGAATCTTTTTTGTCCGTATTTTTTGGTACAATATCTTTTTATTACCGTTGGCGAAATTGATAATTTTTTTCAATAATTTTAATATTTTGTTTTTAAAGAGCAATGTCTTAATGACATTGGATACTTGTTAAGATTATTATTAAAATAATATTTTAAAAATAATCAAATTATCTATCAATTGAATTATAATTTTGGTAAGAATGACTGCAGTTTTATTTCACATAGTTATCTGTTATGTAAATATGTTTAATTATTGAATGTATAATATGAATTAATGAAGAACTATTTTTTTGGGTTAAAAGGTAAAAATTACTTTTCTTATCGTTTACAGACCTGCAGTAAGAGTTACAGCCAGTTACTCAATAAATATTTGCGACACCGTTTTCGGTCTAATTGCAATATCGAGTCCCTGAAAGCTCTGTCGTACGCGGTCACATTTCCGGATTGAGTTATCTCCGTCACAACCCCGACCCCAAAAGCGATGCCTCTGAAATGGTATTGGTGAATAAACCAAAAAATCTTTGCTCAAACTCTTATTCTTCCCTTTGATTTCCATTTTTTTTAGTTTAAAATCTTGTTTTCTTGTTTTTCCTCCTTTAGGGTTTTGAATTGGCAGCCCAATGCTGGATCAACCGTTAACAGCCAAATCCTAAACGAAGTTACACAATGCGTTGAGAGCATCAATGGCGTCAAAGAAGGTCGTTGGAAAGCTACTCTCACTTTTTACAAACCCATGTTACGAGGTCAGCTCTCTTTCTCTTTCTCTTTTCTTTTTCGTTTTTGGTTTTCTAATTTGATTTATGGATTTTGAACTATGTTATTCTTAGATCAAGCGTTATCCGCCGAATTCCCGCGTGACTTCCTAGGGATTTCGCTTCCTGAGCAACCCAACAAGTATTATTTCATACTTCGAGGTCATAAGATTGTTCTGGAAGCGGATTCTTCTATTCAGTTGATAATGGAGAAATTGCAGTCTTATAAATCCAGGGTTGCCCTTAATTTCGAGGTATGTGATTTCACGTTTCCTTTCAATTCCATTTGTTTTTCTGTGAGCAATGATTTTGTTTTCTGATATCATTTTTTGTTGTAGGGGTTTCAATATCAACTAGGCGACTTTCAATTGAGAGTAGGGAAAGTTGTACCTAATCAATCTGAAAGTTTGAGAGGAATAGTTATGGAGGTACTGTATTATTGCTTGTCTTATACTTCGAAACATTCATTTTAGAATGCTGGTGTAGATTAATTTTAATGTATCATTTTGATTTAAGGATGGGTAGCTGTTGTTTTTTGGTTAGAGCATGCCATAGAGATTGGGAAACAAGCTGATTGTTTAGTCTCCACTAAAACAAATCCTAATTTCTAGTGGGTAGAGTTCATTGCATTTTTGGATGTTCATGCTTTTTGGAATGTCAAGTGATTATGATTTTGTATTTCATAGCAATCTGTCACCAAAGGTGTCTACATTTGCTTCAATGTTCAATTCTCGTTTTATGTCCTTTACTCCTTATATCAGAATCAATGCAAAACTTGGTACCCTTTTGTCCTCCTGTCTCTAGGTTGAATTATCTGTGGTTGTTGCCGTGAAATCCTTGAGAAATTTGTTTGGTGTTTTAAGATGTTAAGTATGGTAACATTACTAGTTGTCAAACTCAGCGAGTAGATTGTTTTGAATTGTTGAACCATAATTCATTCTAATTTAACTTTTTGTTCCTTTGCAGGTGGAGTATCTTCCCATTTCTTCAATAGAGAAATCCAGACAAATCATGGAGGAGTTTGTTGATATTTGGCAAGATGCCGTGTCCAAACGATCATTGCCAGGCCATTTTATGCATTTAGAACCGAACTTTTCAGATTATGGCCTTGCAGATCACTATACGTCACAACACACAGCTGTTCAGTACACTCATGTCATGGCTCATCTTATTGCATCAGGTCAAGCTGTACAAGCAGCAAGAAATTAGGATATTGTTGTTAGTCCACCCAGATCCAAAGGGATATAGAGAGAGTTTAAGATGATCATGTTTGTTACTTGTATGACTGGATTCAATCTCAAGGACTTGGAAATGCTGGTTTTGGGGTTCAACTCATGGATTCTTTTGCATCATATTCTTTAGTTTAAATAATTGCTCTTTAGTTTGTAGAAAATTTAGAAAGAAACAGATAAAGGAAATGGAAGAAGAATAAGTAGACTTGGGATAAGCTTAAAAGCAAGCATGTATGTCTGATACAGTTAAATGCAACCACTGCTATAAAATACCAAACTACAAATAATAAGCTAAGTTGCAGCTTCAAATTTCTAACATCTTGTCGCCACCGGTATAGATTGACTTTTGATTATTTTGTTTGGTATTATCGTGTTTAAAACTGTCATATCTAGTTTTATATTTCGTTCCGGTTTGATCTGACCATCTTGCAGTAAATCTTAACTTAAGGCAAACCACCAAGCCCCTGGTTGATTTGGTTAGGAGGGCATTGAGCTAAATCATTAGTTACGTCCGAGGGGGTGGGGGATAGAATGGTGTTAAGGGTCTTTTAGTCCCTTACACATGAAACAGAACGGACTTGATGTCTGAACCGACAGTCTCATGGTACGAGTGGAGAACATTTTTCTGTTCCGAAGATTTAGCCATCTAGGTTTCAGTTGCACATAATATAAAAACTCCACGTTCGATCACGAAAGATTTTGCTATTTTAGTTGGCCGCCCTTTCCCACTTTCTTTTCTTTCTTATTACTTTCGCTCTGCACCTTTTCCATCTAATAATCGCATCTCCCTATTCATTCAATTCAGTTCTCAATCTTTATTCGATCAACCCAGATTATATCAGACATCAAGTAATCATTTTCTTTCCTTGTTTGAAGAGTTTTGTTCATCTCCAATGGAACAACAAAACAATAAAACCAATGCCCCCAGGAAGGTTTGTTCCAACTCCTTTAACTTAATATCTATGGTTGAATAGTTGGTCATTTTTCTATCTGTATTTTCTGACGATTTCTATTTTTTCTGGGGTGTTACAGATGAGATTTGCACCGAAAGCTCCTCCTCGCCGAGCACCAAAGCTCGAGGTTAAAACGTACATATCATTTGGTACTTGGATTGCAATGCGCTGTGTCTGTTTCTTGACGTTGAAACTGCCTTTTTAATCTGTATGTTCATATTTTTGGTTGTTTGAGTGGTTTCAGTGAAGTGGTCGAAGACATTGACGCTGTTCAGGCCAGGGATTTGCTGCAACGTTTAAATTTACATGCGTTTGCCAATTTTTATTGCCATTTTCTTCACGTTTATCTGGCATTGATTATCTTGTTATGTTCTTTTCCTTTGATCTTTTTATTTCTTTTCTCACAGCAAACTTCTGCAAAGACTAAGCCGAAAGTTGAAAAGAAAGGTAAATTTATTTTTCTGATAGGATTCTATTGAATATCTAATTCAGATATATCAGGATGTAATTTTAGTTTCTGTTTTGTTTTTCCAACCGTCATTCATATTCTAATATTCTTCATATGGAGCTAAAAATAAATAAACAATTAAATCATTGCCTAAATTTCCTATAGATAGAAAAATGCTAGTCTATGAGATTGCATTTCACTGAGACAATTTGAGGTTCTTAACAACCCAGAAGCAGAGTGCATATAAGATTGAGAAACTAAGACTGCGAAATATAGACATGACATGAGAAATGGCATCATTGCAATAAGAGGAAAGAAGCGTTTTGTTTTCATTCTAATATAGTCTTATCTTTGTTCAAAGAATTACTAAACATATTTTGGCAACATTTTTGAGAGAATTTAAAAACTTTATCCTGAATCCTCCTGAATTAGCCAAGAATTTAAAAACTTGATCTTGCTTCTGTTGTTATACAATAGTTGAATGATCTCATTACTTCGAGGACTTATTTCAGGCATAGTTGTGCCTCATTTTACTTCAATATATTTGGCTATCATATGCTTTGAAAGCTGATGCAACCAACACCTTAAATGGGCGTCAGATTAATAACAAATAATATAAATTAATGCCTAAGGGGCTCTTCTCTAGTATATTATTCGATTACATTTAAAACAAAGATATTTGACCTTAATAATGATTTCTCTGACTTGTCATGTGTTTTGGATTACCGCATGATAAACATGTGTTGGTTATTATTCTGAACATTTTCTAATTGGTGCAGCTTACTCCAGGCTTGAATTGCGTGTTTGCCCAGGATTTTGTAGCTGTTAATACTGCAGAGAGGCATTGTTGTGTTGTTGGGGAGCTTAACAAGCACGCTGCCTTAACCCCAGATGTGAATTCTGTTTTGAATAGTTTGGCTGATCTTTAATGGCTTTTGCTCCTTCGGATTTGGTTATTAGTTTACAGAAGAAATCGAGAACAAAAAATGTTCTAAAAACAAAATTATATGGTTATTGATTCTTCAGGAAAAAGGAAAATGAATACTCAGTCAAGATCTGGGTTTCAAAATAAAGAACTATTGACTCAGTCGATTTGTCACAAAAAATACTAATGAAATACTCTAAATCAAATTCTACCAAGTAGTTCTTCTTCTTATGCATTTGGATTTTGACATTCATGTGAGCTGCACAAGAGTTGTATATGATTGGAATTGCTTCCAAAAGATTCTATTGATTATGGCATAGAGATCAAAATCCTGAGTTTTCCTGATCCCTTTATTTTTCAGTGGGAAACAACTACGAACTTTTAACTAAAACACATTCAATTTTCTAATCATGAAACTGCCTTAAAGTGCAAGGGTAAAATAAGATAAATTCAAAAATGGCAAATCATAACATCCGCCAGCATATATCTGAACATCCAGGTCAATGTTTCAAGAAAATTTCATGTTGAAACACTTGAATACAATAGTACACATCAAAGTCCGAAACACAGTTCATTAACATTGCAACTTGCTTAAAATATTAAAAGAATAATATAAATTACCTGGGGTTCAATTTTTGTGGCCTTTCTCATAAATTCTTGAGCCTTTTCAACCTGACCAAGCTGAGATTATATATGTCCAAGAGCCTATGGAAAACAATAAAATTCAATGAAATACAAAAGGAGAAACCTCAATTTTTTTCCTTTTCTCTTTTTTTTTTTTAAAATTTGGATTTTTGTTTTTGATATTTTGATTATGCCTGGAAATTTTTAAATTGATAATTTTCTTTTCATCATCTTAATACCGCAATGTCTTGGATACTTATCAAGATTATTATTATTATTATTATTAAAATAATACTTTTATTAAAAATATTTAAATTATCTATAAATTATATTATTTTTGGACAAAATATTGTAAATGTTAAATTTTAAATTTTCGACTTGTTTAAATTCATCTTTTAAAAATGGATGAATGAACAAAATGAATTAAATCCCAAAATTAATTACATTAATCTTTGAGTCTAAGGTAATTATCATTTTTGTCACCTTTATTTTTCGATAGAATAACTATGAACTTTGATAGCTTTGTTTGTTAGTAGTTTCGGTGCCTCATTATAAAAATTGATTGGATAATGAACTGTTAAAGGCGTTCAATCATTAGATCATTGCTTCAATTGTTAGGTTAGTAGGGTTATTATTGAATCAATAAAGATATTTAAAAATTTAATCTCATATGTGATATATAATAAAATTTTACTGTATATAATTTCATATTTTAAAAAATTAAAATATATAATATAATATAATAAATGTGAAAAATATATTTTTAAAATAAATTTAAAATTCAAACTCCCAACTCGAAAATATTAGCAAACAATTCAATCATATTAATTTAAAAAATAAACAAAAAGTAAATACCCTAAAAATTTTAAAAATAAAAAATAACATTCTAAAAAAAACTCATGTAAAATATAAATTTTAAAAAATAAAAAATAATAAAACAAGTACCGTCAAAATAATAATATTTGATATAAAGCCTATCAAGCTCCAAAATGATAAATAAAGTTTTAATTTTAATCAACCAAGTCTTTACTTTCAATTTGATGTGAATGTATCACCTAGAAATAGAAATGAAAAAGAGATTGTATTTAAAGTGTGAGGGAGGATAACTCCACTTAAATATTTAAATTTAAATTTGTTTTATTTTCTATTTTACTTTAAAATATATTATTTTAGTTAAAAACACAATAATTCATAATTTTAATTATAAAAATTAAATTAATAATAATTTTAAAGTCATTTTATAAAAAAATTTAAAAACCCAACAAGTTCAATAAAAACCTATCAATTCATCAATTTATTAATTAAACTTCCTCTTTCTATTATATATTAGTATTTTATGACATCTAATCATTGTGGTTTTCCCAAATTATCAAACCAAAATTGGATATAAGCTTATCATTTGAATTTTATCCACGCAAAACACATCATTTTCTTCCTTGTACTCCTTGATTGAATTGACAAGAAGAAACTTTAATCTTTCCAATAACACAATGGTATGAAACATCGGTGATATAGAAAATTGGAACAACTTGGGTCGTGATTCCTCCTTATTTAAGCAAGTCTTGGGTATGGTGTGGCTTCTTGGCCATTAGATATTAAAATGTCTTTGGTGCTTAGAGTTAATGAAAAATTATTTCCAAGGGGTGATTGGAGTGTACAATTGAAATGGACTGTTATCCAGAGAAGTGAAATAACTGACTAAAAAAATGAGCAAACCATATGTCCCAGCATCGTTTTATTACATCACTCTTTCAGAAATGCAACACACAGTCGATAATTCTTCTCCCATCCAAAGTCACTCTGCTTCCGAAATGAAAATCTAGCATACTCTGGATGCAACCCAGCTTGCTTTCTAGATTTGGTGTAAGATTATTTGTGCTCCATGCTGTGGTTGAAGAGTCATAACAGTGTATGGGGCATGCGAGTAGGAAGGTGAGAGCTTGAATGAGAAATGCTGTAGAATCATAGCCAAAGCTACCTTAGCTTCAAGCATGGCAAAATTTTGCCCAATGCTGGTCCTTGTGCCCCAACCAAACGGGAAAAATGCCAGTTGATCTTTGGATGCCTTTGAAACTCCTTCAGAAAATCTCTCTGGTTTGAATTCTTCAGCATCATCACCCCAAAGTTCAGGATCATGATTAATGAGCAGGATGGGCAGCGTTATATCAACTCCAGCTGGAAGAGAGATTTCTTTAATCTTGGTGTCTTTGTTAGCATGTTGATATAGAGCTATGACAGGTGGGTATAACCTCAGGACCTCATAAATATCATTGTTACCTGCAAGAAATTTACATCATGAATATTTGATCAACAAACTACAGATTTGTGGTTCATATCATTGCTACTGCTGCTGCTTTTGCATCATGACTTGGGAATTTTATCTGGGGAGCAGTGGAATACTCACAATCTTAAGGTGACTTATAGCTTCAAAATCAGGCTCCTTCCCGCAAACCTGTAGGACCTCCTCTCTTGCCTTTTCTTGCCACTCTGGATGCAGAGCTAAGACTATTATTGCCCATGTTAGCCAGCTTGCGGTCGTTTCTTGGCCAGCAAGGTAGAACTGTTTGCATTCCTCTATTACATCTTCAGTTGTCATCCCTCCTTCTGCGCCATTTGCACATTGATTATTATGTTGCAAGAGCATGCCTAGCAAGTCATCAGCCCTCGTTTGTCCCGTCCTCATTCCATTCTCTTTCATTTGGATTACATTTCTTAGCATTGATGTAATATCTTTGTCCAATTTCTTTCTCCTCTGATTCTTTTTTGTAGGAATAAATCTGTACAATTTGTACTAATTACCTTCCCAACATAGTAGACAGTTTTTATTTTAAATGACTAACAAATTAAGGAAGAAACTGACAACAGATGAAGATACCAAAGAGAGTTTGTGTCGAATCAGTAAATGGAAATGCACCTGAAACCTGGAATGTACAATGACTGCATTGCTTCAAGTGTCAATGATATTAGCTCTTTTTGAAGATGGAAGATTTTCTTCCCTTCTTCATAGCTGCTTCCAAATGCTGTCCTGGAAATAGCATCAGCAGTAAGCTTTTGAAGTTCAGGCCAGACATCAATCTCATAACTAGATTGCAAACTAGCCATTTTCTTCCACTGCTCTATCATCTGTCCACAGCTGACTGAGAATACCGGTATCATCCCCTGATAGAGCAATTCAAGAAACAATGAGAATCATCTAACTGACTAGGGGGTTTGAGAACAACCCAATACCTCATCTTGTTCTTAAGCCTGGCTTGGTCTTTAAAAAAAAGATTGAAGTAATTGAGCTGAAATATGGTTAAAAACAAGGACTGCCTGAATGGAACCTTCAGTTTCTCAAGGTGAAAGGCAGGGTTGATCATCCTTCTGCGTTTAGACCACTGCTCGCCCTCAAGAGTTGTGAGTCCTCTTGATAGAATGAGAATAATAGGATTTAGTGGTGGCTTTTGGAAGTGACCTTGCTTGTTGGCCAGCACCTCCTTCATCAATTCCGTATCCTTTATGATTAGCCGTGGTCTTGTTCCAGCCCAACAAAATGATACCTTCCCTGCATTAGAAATAGAAAAAAAAAATTGAAAAAACTTGTTTCAACACTTGAATCGGCTACTTGATGATATAGCATAGCTTATGGCCTACCATATTTCTGCACATTATCAAGTGTGAAGGGGTCAACACGTGGAACAATCTGGTGAGTTAGATTAATAGGCTTGGACCATGCTTCAGTTATCTGCCTCACAAACTCTTTCATGTCCCCAACCAGCAGTTTGTATGGTCTTCCTCTGATTCCTTGCTGCTTTAATAGCCTTTCCTGCAATTTGGGCTTCAACCAAATGGAATAGGTAAGTCTTGCAACCCCATAGAGGAGGATGAAGGCCAACGAAGTGGTTACTAAAACAAAGAAATCCATCCAAAAGATAGCCAAGTACTATGTTTTAAGTGAAGTTCTGTATCTGATGGGACTTTCTTGAAATGTTCTATGATCTAATGTTCTAAACTTGATGACCATCTATACAGCTTTTCTATTGCATTATCTGCTTGAGATATTTGACTTCAAATTTAGCTCAAAGTTCTCTTTTGACCATTTAACTTGGCGAAGAAGGAAAGAGAAGTGTATTCCTCTATTCTTTATTTATTTGTTTCGAATGCTTTTGTAGCTTGAAAATTTGACCAAACTGTTGTAGATGATATGTTTTTCTCTGTTTCTTTTTTCTATCAGAGCAAAACTAATTTATTTGGTTGATATCTTCTTGCATATTTAATTTCTGGGAATTCTTTTGAATAACGAGATAAGACACTCTAAACAAAAAATGCGTGGAGACCAAGTTATGTGGGCCAAATATTTTTCAATAGGCAAAGAGTAGAAGAAAGAATGCTGAGCCAAATTCAAAGCAGCACTAGGCCATAACCCACCATGAAATATGGTAAAAAACAGTAGATATGTAGTTATGTACATAGTTTTCAACAAAGAAAGAATTTAAATATATTGACATACTTCATGCTTTTTTCAAATGTATATATACATTAAAGAAATTACTATATTCATCTTTACAGTTTATTTCATAATCAAATTGAAATCTCCGAACATAACATAGAAATAATGGAAAAACTTGAATGTGAACTTAAAGTTTTTTAAGAATTGAGCTTTTACCTGTGGATTATTACAGTTGAATGTGGTGGATTTGTTGGAACTTGCATTTCTTACACTTCTGTTAGGTCCAAAGTTGTCCAAATGGCAAAGTTTCTGACAAACTAACATTAAACGGATCGAAGATTCCTCTGGGCTTGTTAGGTACAATTTAGCTGTCCTTTGGAAATACGTTGCTCTCATAGATAGGCTTTTGAAAAGTCTTCACAAGAGCTGATCAGCTTGTAAACAGGCTTAAGGCCATCTCTCAGACTCCGCAGTCTCCCTCTCCCCTTCCCTGCTCGAGAAAGCCCACCAAATTATGTCACCTCAATTTTCTCTGCTCTCAATTTATTATCCTGTATTTTATTTTTAAGTTACGTTCTCAATTGTAAAAAAATAAATAAAAATACGATAAGAAAATAGCAAATTACCTTTGTCACTTTGTACCCAGACTTGTCCTACTACTTATCTTCAAAAATACATTATATACATAAGTTTTCTAAAGTTCATAATCTTCAAATGTTAATTCTAATAATATATCAATTGATCCAAAAAATAATAGACTGTAATCATAATTTATTTAGTAGAAAACATTACTTTTTTTTTTTATCCCAGTGGGCTTCAGGAATTGGTTTAAATGCAAGAAAAAATTGGCTTGAAAGTGTTCTCACAGTTCAAACTCTTTCAGCCACTCATCTATAGTCATGGGATGGAACTCAAAACGTTTTTCCTTAGGCAATTATACCATAGAGTTGAAGACAATCAGTTTTGATCACGAACTCAATTTCCTGAAATTTTACCATGACTTAATAATTATAATCATAAAATTTAACTTATAATAAAAACTTATGAAAATTCCATGTTCAAAACTACCAAGACAATATGAAAATATATATATATATATTTTCACCTAAAATTTGTATCCATTTAAAACTCTCACTTTTGCCTATAGCAAGTCTATCGGTATATTTGTTTTTATAAATCATAATTATTAGAATCAGCGAAAATCGTCAGTCTAATAAGGTAAATTAGTGAACCGATATTAAAATCGATTCAATTTTGTAATTAAATTAGTTTTATAATAAAACCATTTTAAACAATTATGAACTGACGGTTTACATAATAAATCAATAAAATCAAACGATTTTTTTTATCATATTGATTCAACACCAACTAATAAATTTAGGTAAAATATGAAAAAAAAAAAAACTTTCAAGTATTCAAAAGAATATAATTAAATCCTTGTACTACTATTTCATCTAAATAAGCCCAAAATTCTTATTTTCTACTATCAAAACATTTGCATCCTTATATTAATGATATGTTGACATATTTTTAGACATATGGATAATGATATTGTAAACAAAATTTATACATATATAAAAATAAGAAATTTAAAAAAAAATGATCTAACAAAAATTGTATTAATTGATTCCATAATTAAAAATTATATAAAATTAATAAAAAATAAAAGGTTAATAAAAAAAATTAATTATTTGACCATAATCGAAAATAATTAATAAAATATATATAATTAATAAAAAAATCTACATTCATATAAAATATATAAAAATGATTTTAATTTCTTTTTTACTAATTTTCATATAAATATAAATATTTCATTTTTATTAATTTTATATATAGATATTTCTTTTTTATAACATAAAGATTAATTATTATATATTAATAAATAATATTTATATTTTAATAAATATAAATAATAATTATTTATTATATTATTAAATATATAAATATTATTTCTAACTATTAAAATATAAAATATGATTTTAATAAAATATTAAGTAATTTTATTACTAACTAGTAATTAATTATTGTATGAATTTTATATTTTAAAATTTGTAGTTTATGATATACTTTAAAATTTATAGTTTTATAGTTAAATTATTAAATTACAATTTTAATTAAAAGTTTGAATTTTAAATTTTTAAAATATTTATATTTTTATAATATTTTTTATTAAACTAATAATTAATCTATTGATCCAATAATTGAACCATTGATTTTATAATTTAAAACTTTAAATGATTTAATATTATATTATAAATTATTTGTGAAGCTCGAGAACTACCATTTTTATTTCAAGGTGACATCAACGTATACCAACCATCCAACACCCTCTCGCTGCCTTGGACCCAAATAATTTAAAATAAGTTAGCCCTCTTCTTTTATGGATGCAACCTGAACGTGTTCAAAATGAAAATAATTGAAGGTACTATATGATAGTATAAATTAAGGTGGGTAAAGAGACCAAAACTTATTGCAAAATCTATCGTGGAATTCCACTTGGATCTTTTATCCGACAAAAGCAAAATTTTTTTTTATATAAAAGAGGTCGTGATTTAAATATATAAATATTTAAATTTTAAAAATAATTATATAAGCAGATTAAATTAAACTTTTGTTCAAAATCAAAATACTTTAGGTTAAACCAATTTAATTATAAATGGCCACTAATATTTGTCATGGTCTGTCCTAGTCAAATGTCACCTCCCCCAAAGCCTTTAGTGAAACTTTTTCCTGCAATCTTGTGAATTGCCAGGAAAAAAAAACTGCTATTCTACCATAGATCCTACAAAATAAGACAATATTCTTAAATGCGACCCCCTCTGCCCCACTACCGTTTCTCCAATAGTTTTGGAAACAGTTGTTGTCCTTCAAATTAGGGCACCCCACCCCATTGTCTACATTATGGCTCTGAAAATATTTTGTACCACTGAATTATTTGAATGCAAGTTGGTCGCTAAAGATCAGTCCAGGTATTATTTCAAGTACCTCATTTAATTTTTACCCGAATTTTTTTTTTCGTACAGGACAAATACTAAGTTATAAATTTCTGTTTGACTAAAGCAAATCTGCATCTAACAATTTTAGTCACGAAATAATAATATAATATAAAAATATATTATTAAAAATTAATAAAAATATATATTTGATAAAAATTAAAAAAAATTAGTTATAAATATTAATTATGCTATAATAATTTTTATATTTAATATAAATAAATATGATATAAATATATAAATTTTTATATAAATTTTAAAAAACAGATTAAAATTTTATTAAAGCCATTCATTTTGAGAAAAATGAAATATTTATATTATAATTATCCAAAAAAACAATATTGATATATTTATGTATTAACATAATTAATTTTTCTGTCCAACAGAAAAATGCAAGTGGGAGTGGGAGTGTCAGTGTCAGTGTAATTTAGTTAAGTGTGTCCCAATTCCTACAATAAATGAAACTAGAAATATCAATTTGTTCAACTACAATTCCTACAAGGCCCGTGGGATGTGAGAGAAAAAGGAATAGATAGTGAAAGATACAATTAAAATATTCTCTAGAGGTAGAATCATCCACTTTTTTTTTTATTATTTGAATTTAAATATGAATTATTGAATACATAAAAATTTTTAATTTATTTTTTGAATAGTACTATATTAATTTTAAATTGTACTTTTCATTTCAAATGTGTAATGGTGGGGGTACATGACAATTGACAAGACAACTTTTTTCCCTACAAATAGTTTTGTAATCTACTAAGATGAGAAATGCTTGGTGCACATTATTCACGGCTATAGTTAGATTTGACATTAAAATTAAATTTTAAAAATATGAATTTAAATATAATATAATATTTAAATTTTTGATAAAATTATAAAGAAATTAATTTTTTTAATATAAAAAATTTAATCTTCTTAAAATAAAGAAAATTATTTATAATATATGAAATTAAACTTATATATCTTATTATATATTTAAAAATTATATAAATAATTTAAATTATATAAAATTTGAAGAATAATAAATTTGATCAATAAATAAATTATTTTATTTTAATTATTAAACATATCAAAATAAAATAAGATGATATTGTTTAATTTAATTTTATTCATAATATCATCTTATCCTATCCTATTATAATTTTGTGTACAAAAAAATTCAAAAGTCATATTTAATTCATAAGATGATAGATATAATAGAATAATAATCATCCTATATTATATTTTATTTTTATTTTTAAAAAAATGTAGGATTACAATAATTACTGATCATCCTATTTGTATAAAAAAAAATTCAATCCTCTCAAATGAGAGATGATTATTTTTAATACATGACATTAAATTTATATGTTTCATTATATCATTAAAAATTATATCAATAATTTAAATTTTATAAATTTTAAAAAATGATAATTTTAACAGATAATAAACTATCACATCATAATTCTTACATACATTAAACACAATATAAGAAAATATTATTTACTCTAATTTCATTCATATACTATTGTAATCTTATGTACTAAACATATCTAAAAATTGTATAAAAAATAAAATAATGCAATAAAAATTTTAAATATAAATTATATATAAATTTAATAAAAAATATTTTATCGATATAAATATAATACAAGTACCATAATTATTAAATCCATCTATAACTACAGAATTTAAAGAGCGTAATTATTCACATAGCAGATTTTATATAACTACTTGTGCAAGTAGTAAATAAATAGGCAGGCATGTCCCAAAATATCTAATACAAACACATCAACGTGTGCCATCGGTTTTGACTACATACATGAGGTTGTCGTGAACAAAGTCAAATGAAACATGCATCACGCAATGCAATATCTCTTCCTTTTATGTCAAACGAGGAAAATAATTATTTTGTCAGGAAAAAAAATTCTCCATTGACAAGTTTTTCCTCTAGGAGGGATGGATTGTCTGAGTCGGCAAACATAGATGTTCCCTTGTTTTTGAAAAATAATATTGACTTAAATCGATGAATAATGAACAAAAAAAAAAAAAAGGAATATTAGGTGAGACAAAAAGGGAGAGTCGGAGTCGTTGGATAATATACCATAGTGGGAATTGTTGTTTGAAATCTGAATTGTCTTAATGACTTGACGAAGAACTTGAAATTTACCAAATAGTAATTAAACACGTAAGAAGTGCTTAATTTACTTTCCCTTGATTCAAAATAAAAGTGTTACTTTATGTTTTTCTTTTAAAAAAATTTATTATATGTATGTATAATTTTGTTAATTTAAAGTTAAAAACTTTATTATTAATTAATAAAATAAAATTTTAAAATAAATAAAAATAAAACATACGATAATTTTTAAATTTAATTTTTTCAATTAAAAATTTACTATTAATGTATAAAAAACAAATTCAAATATATATATACATTTGTGTCACTTAAACTTAATAATTATGAAAAATTGGATGGAAATGTTCGTTTTCTATAATCTATATGTGCAAAACAAAAATTGAAGTATTAGAAATTCAATAATTTTCGATTCTTTTGAAATTATTATTATATTATTGAAATATTATGTTTATTACCACTCTAAGGCTTAAGTCATACAATTAAAATAAAGTATTCATTAATTAATTTCATTAAATGGAACAGAATTTAAAACAAAATTGTTGAAAGTATTTGATAAAATTTTATAAAACCACAAATAATTATTATTGAAATAGTTTTGGCTTATGCCAATTAGTTTGAATTTAATAACATCCTTGAAATTATAAAAAAAAAGTGATTTTTTAAAAAAAATTACAGTTATGTCAAGATGAAAAGTTGTTTTTCAAATTTATAATAATATCAAATCAAATCATATTCTTTTGCCTTTTGTCTATATTTCACCTGTTTTGTTGAAAATTTTCATCATTTAAGAGAAAAGAAAAAAAAAAGGGATGAAGAATCCAACAACAAAGCAGCACGATGTTTGGGTTTATATTTGACGCTTTTTTTTTTTAATTTGATAAATAGTAATAACTTTTAATTTAGTTATTAAAAAAATAATATAATTAACTAATGTGTCTACTATCAATTATAGGCTTTTAGGTTTTGATAAAGTACTGCATAGCATGTTTGAATTGATAAATACTAAAATATTTTTTAAATTTATTTTAATACAATTTAAAAGAAAATTTTATATTAAAAGCTTTTTGGCCGCAAGATTCAGGGCAAAAAGAAGACAAATTGAAATGTTATAAAATTAAAGAAAGAAAATTTGACAACTAATCGCTTGAAAAGCCATAGATTCAACGTGAGAAAGGTAGCCTTCAGAATTTTTTTTAATGAAGCAGGGGCCCATCTATTTATTAGTACTTCATTGGAATAGTAAGATTAAATTTTAGTTTATGAAATGTAAAATGACATATATATATATATGTATATACATGCGAAGATAAAAATTTTAGTTTAAACTATAAAAATTTATTAATTTACTGGTAAATAATTAAATAAAAGGGACTCTCAATGACCAGCACGAAACAGAAATTTAGTACAATTATTTAGTTTCACAAGTTGAGCTGAAAAGCTGAGACGTAGAACAGTCGCAGATCATATTGTAACATTGTTTATCTTATTTTACAAGCCAATCCTCAAAGTTTTCAATAAATGGAGCCAAAGAATATTGGAGATCCGAAGCCAAATTTAGAGCGTAGTGGGTGGAGGTCCAGTCTTGTCGCATTTCCTCGGAGAAAATGAGAGGTTGGTCTTGTGAAGGCACCGAAGCATTGTTGTAATTAAGGTTACCTATATCAGAAAAATCGGAATTTAAAAGATCTGGCAGACAAAACTCTCCCACATTGTCGAAGTCAAGCATAAAATCGGACGAATTATTATTGGTCTTTTCATTTTCGGATATGGGTAATAAGCAATTAATTGAAGTGGATGCCCATGTTTGAGTCATTGGACAATGGCCATCCCCATTTTTTGAAGGCTTGGCCTCTCTGTTCCTGTCAAAATTAGGATCAACTTTTGGTGGGTACCGAGGCTTTACGAAAACCTTGGAGCACCTGGTTGCCTTTGTCAGTACCACATGTGATGAGGACGAACCATCAGTTGGTACCAGTTGGGCCGCCTCACTTTTCTTCATAGTTCTCCCATTAGATTTCTTGTGTTTCAAAGCTGCTGCTGCTGCTGAGTTTTGGTGATCTTGAACCTTTTTCCCCAAGTTGGTGTTCCAATAATTCTTTATTTCATTGTCTGTTCGCCCTGGAAGCCTCCCCGCAATCAAAGACCATCTACATCAACAAAATGTAAACAGTAAACACTGTCAAATTAAGCTTGACACCAGCAGTACTACAATAATATTTGTACTTTATCAAACTTTGAAAAACAGAAGAGTACCATGGAAATTGCTTTAAACAGAATGTGAAAAGAAAAATGAAGAACATGTCTACGAAAGAGAGAGAAGATAAAAAACCTGTTCCCCAGGAGTTTGTGAAGTCTGATGATAAGCTCTTCCTCGTCTGTTGATATGTTACCTCTTTTGATATCTGGCCTCAAATAGTTCAACCAGCGAAGCCTACAACTTTTCCCACATCTGTTCAAACCTGTTTACAAAGAAATTAACTATTACCACATTTCCGTCGTTTCTCTTTTATAATATAATGATCAATTATGCAGCTAATCCCCCCAACCCACCCCGCCCAAAAAAAAAAAAAAATACCAGCTCTTTTGGGGAGATTTCTCCATCTGCCTTCACCATGTGCTTTAATGTAATCTATAAGGATTTTGTCTTCAAGAACAGACCAAGCGCCTCTGTTCAGGCCTTCCTTGGAACAACATGGGCTCCTTCCCATTTGGCACTGCACCACCCTCCCCCCTCTCCCTCTCTCTCTCTCTCTCTCTCTCTCTCTCTCTCGCAGATGGGTGTGTTCCGAGTTATGACTTCTGATTTTCTCAAAAATGATTCTTGATACGTCTCCCTTCTTCGACGGGATAATTTATAGCCACCTTTTTTTTATATTATTATTTTAATTTTTTATAAATTTATATTTAATATATTATTGATATATATATTTTATTTTATCAATAAACTAGATTAAGATAATTTATTAATAAAATAAATCAAATAATAATATATCATTAATAAATTATTATTATCGAATTCACTGCATTATATAAATTTTATACATAAATAATATATCAAATATAAACTATTTTTTAGATTATGAATCGGTAGCAACTTGTGTTTTTAGGGTTTGTATTTTCTAACGTGATGCTGTAGTTCCTTTATGAAAAAAAAAATCAATGTGACAATTTTTTAAATTTTTTCCTGCAAAATTAAATATAAAAAATGTAATAAAAGAATATATAAATGACGTTTTGGTTACATGTGCAATATGGACCACGTTTATTCTCGCACAAAGGAATAAAATGATAATTATTATATTAAATCCTTAGTTAAAATCACTATAATATATTTTATTTAAATTATATCATATATTTATATTATTAAAATAATTAATCATTTATTATATATCACATTTGATAATTAAATGATAAATATTTATTTTTATAAATTTATTAATAATTTTAATAATAAATTAATGATTAATTTTTTCTAATAATGTAATTATATCATATGATTTAAGTAAAATGATCATGCATTACTATATGGAGTATGACTTTTATTCAGATTCATTTGCATATTCCATGTAACTACCACCAAGTTAATTTTCTGCTCCCCACTGATGATGCAAGGAAGAATATTGAGGCAATTCCATGCAAGAGCCACAGTTATGCAATCCGCAATAGTAATTTCTTGATCTCTTCCGAACTTATTAAGTTTGATATCTTTGTGTTTGATGTTGTTATTTTCATTGGATAGTAAATAAAATTTTCACTTGTTAGTTCTACTTGCTAAATTTGTAATTCATATCAACCTTAAATATATATAAAAAGAATTATTTCCGCACAATAAAATGGATGGGACATGGTGCAGCCATAGCATTGACCTTACCCTTTTTATCTTGCCAAGGAAATGACTGTAAATCATATGCTTCTTCCAAAAGGAAGGGTCCAAGTACAAATCTCTCTCCCAAACTTAAACTATATATGTATAGAAAGGGAAAAAATCATTCCAAAAACTTCAATTAATGGTTATATGTCATACAGGATGGAAATTTAATTAGTAGTAACTTTTTTCTCATTTACTACGTTTGTAAACTCTAAACGACAAAGTTGACACATATATGCAGTTGATAATAACATTATCCCAGTCCCCAAGTTGGGCCAGCAATATCTGATCCTGCAATAATGATGGTTTCCTTTCCCTCGGAGGCTCAAACTAACCTTCTTCATTCTTGCATGGCTTGGAAAGTTTGTTGCAAAAAGCAAGCCGCCCACATAATTGTCCCGACCCCAAATTCAATTCGAAAAGATTAAAAAATGTTGCCACGACAGGTAATGATTGATTGAGAGGTACTCACATCGCTGACAAAAGTTTCCATTGAAAAAAAAAAAAATCAAAATCCTATTGTGCCTAACTTAAACCTGCACCGTCCACGTCCCATCATTGCTGGCATTGCTGCTGTATTCTTTTACCACTTGCTATTAAATTTGCTGTGCATGAATCAAAACAAAATATAACAAATTAAGAAAAATACATACACAGTTAAAACGTATGATTGGTTTGTAACATAGTCAACAATCTTTTGGCCCCTATATACAATGATTAATTTCACAGACTCATATTAAGAACCTTAATTAATTTGAAAGAATATTTCATTAGTATATAATATTTCTATATACTGTTGTCTTCTTTCCTCTTCTTTTTTTTTTTTTCCGAGGTTTCTAGACAAATCTAGCTTGATATTTGAAATAATTGTCCTATATGTATAGACATTGGATGCTTAATCATAATATCATATTTGTTTAGATAATGTTAAGAACCTTAATTAAGATGAAAGAATACTCTATTTCATTAGAATATAATATTAAACTGTAGTGTATATATATTTTTTGTCTTGTTTCCTTTTTTTTTTTGTCGCAGGTTTCTAGACAAATCTAATTTGATCTTTGAAATAATTGTCCTATATGTATAGACATTGGAAGCTTAACCATCATAATACCATATTTGTTTAGATAATGTTATATACAAATAAATATATATATACATAAATGTTTTGTGATATTATTTAAAAAATGTTTTTTATTAAGTTAAAAAAGTTAATGAGAGATTAAAAAAAAAAGAAATGCTCTTTTTATTTATATTTTTTTTGTTAAAAGTTATCAAATTTTAATCTTTAATTATTAAAATAAAAAACTAATATTTTATCTATAAATAATGTAATTAGTAATTACAAATGTGTGTTTTTTTTAAGTGAATATATCCTTCTTTCCATCATTTATTTTTTAGAAGATTGGGAGTTTAAACTCAAAGTGCTTATTTGTGTCCTACAAAAAGTGCCTCACAAGACGGAAATGGTGTGAACCTTCTTATACCCCAGGAACCCTCCTATTATGTTCGATGTGGGATTCAGGACTCCCTCTTAGGTCCGTGACATTCTCCTGCACCCAACCTCGTGACGAACGATTTAGGGCTGGTTCTGATACCACTTGTCACGGGTCGAAACTCAAGCTTCGAACCCGCGCGGCTCCGAGATCCGGGCATTCACCCTTCCGGCTTCCCAGATCAGCCTACCGCCACGGTTCACACCCTTGTGAGGTATTATCCGCTCTGACCCTCTTGACCTCACGATTTTGTCCTACAAAAGGCGTCTCATAAGGCGGAGATGGTGTGAACCCTCTTATACCCCAAGAATCTTCCTATTATGTTCGATGTGAGATTCATAATTTCCTTTAAGTCCGTGACACTTTGACCTGTTTAGAGCAATTACGTACATATAAGTTTACCTATTGTGGAATCATTATGTACCCTATTAAAAAAAATTTTTTTTTTTGTTTTCTTTCAACTTAAAAAAAAAAAAAAAAGATAACAAGAAGGGCAAATACAATTACAAATAAATCCACAGTTTTATTCAAAAAGGGAAAAAAACAAATGTTTTTATATTGTATGTATGTTTTCTTTTGGGTAGTGATTGAAGTTAAAAAAAGGTTGAAACTGATAAGGTGTTTTTAACAAGAACAAGAACAATTTAATTGGCATTTGATTAATGTCTCCTCCTATACTACCACCTAATTATGTGACCCCTTAATAAATTTTAATATATATTTTCTTGTCACGTGCTTAAGATAATTTACTTTAATAAAAAGAAAAATTAGTCAATATTTAATTTAATAGGAAAACGATTAATTAAGGAAAGTTTAACTACTTTAAGGAAATAGATAATTAAAAACTATTCAATATTTAAGATTATTAATCAAGGAAAGTTTAAATACTTTAATAAATAATTCAATATTAATAAGGAAATAAATAAAATTAGTTAATATTTTAATATAATAAGAAAATAATTAATTGAAGATCAAATAATTAATTTAATAGATTACCAAGGGCATATATGTTGGCCTATGTTGTTCACTATTTGTAGTTTTGAAGTTCATTTTTTATACATAGTATTGATATATATATATATTTGCCTTTTTTTTTTAGGGTAAATAGCAAAAAGTAAATTAAATAGTTAATGTAATTACACCAACAAAGCAATTAGTTGATAAAGTTTTCCTTTTCTCTTATGTTATTCTAAGAACTTAATGTTGAATCACACTTGGGTCTAGCGGGAATATTGCTCAATATATTATACCCATTGCACTATAGGAAAAAAAAAAAACAAGGCTAGACCAAAAAAACAGCACTAAGAAAAATTCTAAAATTCAAAGACGAGATTATAAATTTAATAAATTAAACCTGGCATTCCATATGAACATATATTAGTGACTGTGTCACAAAGATAGCTACCCATATCGGTAATGCCAACGGTCATCAGGTTGACCCAAAAAGCCGACATTAGCGCAATGCATTTCGATTCTAAGCCAGCAAAATCATGAAAGAAGGTCGAAATAATAAACCAAGTTGAAAAGAGACAGCATTTTATATTTTATGGTCCCTGCCTGCGTAGCTAGGTTCGTCCTGCTCATAAATATGATTGTTGTTTTTGTTAGGTGCATCGACAGCGTCTCATTCAAAATGCTTACAGAAATATGTCTTCATACATATGAATGATAATGGCCGTGATTCAGACACGACTTGTGTACTGTATAGAAATGTCCAAAACCGAACGGTTTGATCACTGCAATATTAGTGGTTTCATTCGGTGGAACCAGCTAGCTTGCAATTTGCTTCTTGATTGAATGAGAGTAGTTGACAACTCTACTAGTGTTTTAACTCGACTTTTCGAAGAAGAGAAGCAAAAAAACCGTGAAGAATTAGCTAGATAGGTCGACATCGGAGGACGCCATAGGCATGTTCGGCTCGGCATACTAAGTCAAGAACAATAGTAGAATGAATAGTAAGAGACTTAAGTGTCACCCGAGGCGAATCTAGGGGAGGGCAGGCAGGGCCATGGCCCCTCCCCAAAATTATTATAGCCTTAAAGTGACCCGTTTGGTTACTATTTCAACGTAGTTGTTTTAACACTTAGTTCCATTTCAAATTTAATTTACTATTAATTTAATACTTTATCTTAATATGACATTAGTTTTGCCGCTGAGTGTAACCATATTTAGGCTCAAGCTATCTCAAACTTTTGATGCGATCATTTAAGATTTCATTGATCATATTTAACCGGTGTCGTGATTTTCTCATAAATTTTCATTTAATTAAAGGTTAAATACTCGTGTACCTCTCTAATTATATCTCTTCTATTACTTTAATGTTTAAAGAAAAAAAAATCGCAATTAAATATTTAAAATTTAATTTTATTTGTAAAATGCATCATTGGTTAGGATGTTAGTTAAAGTGCTAAAGTGGCCAAAACAAAAACCATCATGTCATGTTATTTTATTATTTTATATTTAAAAATAAAATATATTTATAAATTTTAAAAATTCATATAAAAATTAAAATTATATTTTTTTAATTTTATAAAAAACTAAAATATATAAAATATAATTTTTTTTATTTTTCATTTTTGACATAACAATGAGAAAGATTAAAAATTTTTAAAAAATAATAAGAAAAAAAGCTGGCCTGTCAGCGATGGCATTTGGCAGATCAAAATAGGGATTTACCTTGCCCGAAACAGGTAAACTGATTTGCTTCGAGGCGACCAAAATAGCTTCTGATATCTGACTTTTTGCTCTAATTTGTGCGGTCCAGTTTCCCTCCATGAACATTTTTAATATGCCCGTTCAGATCGAACTTCAAATGAGACAAGTTCTTCTGCTTCATTAAACTGGAGGTTATATGAACATCTTTTAGAGCTTGGGAGACGAGAAAGCTCTTATCTGGTAAGTAGCTGATAATTCAAATAGTAGTAGCACTAGTTTAACACATTTTATGTTGCAAAATTAAAATAGTGTTGGATAAATTACTACAAAATGTTATAAATAGTAGTGCTTTAAAATGTATTAGCAAAAATTTTTTATATTTTTCTGTAAAATGTAACTTGTAATTAATTCAATAATTAATTCATGTAACTCATTTTAAAAAATAATATTTAATAGATTTTAAATTTAAATCTTAATATTTATAATTTTTTTTATTAAAAAATTTCTGTCTTTTGTAAAAAAATGTAACTTGTAATTATCTATTGCAACAAAACACTACTTATGTTATAATATATTGCAATATTTATGTAAATTATTTGAAAATAATTTGTTGCCAAAAGAAATTTGTTGCAATGGTGATTTATATTTTTAAGTTGTAAATGAAAAAAAATATTGGCCAGGCTGTCAGCTACACGTCCATGTCGGGCCAACGTGGCCCAAAGAAAAAGGTTGTCAAGTTGGCAAAAACAGGTCCACAAGGACCACAACCGCAAGTTCTTGAACCAAGAGCCGAATGGAAAAACCAATGATCTCCTTCGACAGGGGAGACGGACAGACGGTCACTATCTCTCACGTGGAGCATAGGGGCTTGCCCAAGGACTTTGGAGAACTTGTTTTTGTACTTTTTGTAAGCCATGAGTCTTTCATTAAACCTTAATTCATGTTAAAAAAAAAATACAACATTGATACCGAAGCCCGAGTCCTATAAGGAAACTAGACTACCAAAAATTATACAAACTGTAGTTTTTTTTTTTTTTTAAGTTGAAAAATGCAATTTGAAAATTTTAATAAAAATTTTAAATATAAAATATAAAATTTTAAATTATTAAAAATTATTTAAATTATATAAAATAATTAAATTTATATTTATATTTATATAAACTTTAATTTAATACTACAAAAAGTAGCTAGGTTTGTAAGGTATAGTTTGTTGGATTCTACAACACTAGCACAACCGAACAAATATGGGAAAATAATTGAGAGGAGCACACTTAGAAGATACCAAAAAGTTATCACTACAGTCGTGTGGCCCCTCAGAAACTCTCTTCTTTTGCAAAATCATTTAAAGTCGTCAGGGACAATAGTTACAGAAAATGGCCTTGTTCACGCATGTATCATTAGGTAGCCACTTCCAGACAGAGACTGGTTTCCCAGGTCGCCAGCTTCCATCACTTTGTACGTAAAGCATATATGCCCTTTTTTACAGAAATTTATTTTAATAAATCTGATTAAGGTAACTTTTCTCTTTAAAGTTCGATGTTTTTACATTTATAAAGGCTGTTTTGGCTTGGAATTTGTTATTGAAATTTTGTAAGAGTTGGACAATGTAATTGGAAGTTTAAAAATTGTTAAGGAAAAATATAGTTTGATATGGCTATGAAAAAGTATTATCCCTAAATTAAAGTATCTAAAATAGACATGAAATATGTAAAGGCATTTTGTCAGTCCATTATCTTAAAATATTGAGTTATAGAAAGCAAATGATATGAAAATGTTCTCAAAAAGTAAAATCATAAATTCTTGATTGTTTGGTGGTTATAAATATTTGGGAATATTGATTTGGGGGATGAACAATGCATTTGGTTTCAACTCTCAAGTTTAGAATCCAAATTAATACTCTCTTAATATAAACGTAGTGTAAGAATAATGGATGAAGACTAACTTGTTAAGTACAAAGTACACAATAAATTCTCAATGTTGCCATTAAAATGCATGCAGGACATGATTCAACTTAATTAAACTAATTAAATTAAAAACTTATAAATTTTAAAAATCGACGAGCTTTAGCAAAAAGCCGTACGACTTCAGATAGTACTTCAAAACTTGGGTCATGAAGATTTTGGTCCAATGGGGCCTTTTAGTTTTGAGCCTTTAATTCTTTACTTCAAAGATTTGTTTGGTTTTCCTTGTTTAGTTTGCCAATTTTTGCAACATTAATGAATGCGTGTTATAGTCCAACTTTTTTTTTATAAATAAAATTGTAATTTATGTACGAATAAGAGACAAAATTACAGATATTAAATTTAAATTTTAAATATATTAAATATTATTTTTAAAAATGATTATATGAATAAATTAAATTAAATTTTGAATTCCATTTATTTTATGTTACTAAATGATCACTCAAATTACTGCGTGAAATTGGAATCTTAAAAAGATTTAAACTGAAAACAGAAAAAAAGCGGAAAGAAATTAAGGTTTACCTATATTCTCAAGCCACATGTATTAAATATTTGAAAATTGAAGCCGTACGTTCAATATATACTATAAGAGATAATAGTATGTTTCAGGAGTATGAAATTAAATAAAATTTCGTTATTAGAATTTGACTGAACTACGAAATTATTGACTTTATTAACTTTGATGAATTAGTCCAAGAGATAGAATGCTAGACTTCGGAGATCCAAGGTTTCAGTTGTTTGGAAAAGGTCAGAACTAGCCCTCGAGGTATCAGGCCTTGCTGCTGATTCATCCGGTGACCTGTAAAGATCAACTTGATCAAGGTTTAAGTTGAAACCATCGCCGTATTCCCCATTCTCCGCCGCATTGTTACAATGTTCATCAACCTGTTGAATTGGATCATGGAAGTCTGTGATTGGAGCGTCCAATACAAGAAGTTCATTGATGTCAAAATCCAACAAGAAATCGACCGAATTATCCTCATGAACAGATGAAGAATGGGTCTCAGCTGTCTGATTATCTAACAGTCGCGGGATAACATTGACTGCCTTGGTGCACTTCACTGCTTTGGTTCGAATCACCTTGTGTTGATCATCCGTCGTTATCTCCGGGGAAGATTTGACGCATCCCCGTTTTCCCAGCTTGTTAAGCAGCATATTAGAAGGTTGGGTAGTCTTGGGAGTAATCTTCTGGCCTTGCACTCTCTTACTCAAATTGGTATTCCAGTAGTTTTTTATTTCATTGTCTGTTCGCCCCGGTAATCTTCCGGCGATGAGAGACCACCTGAAAACACTCTCAGACGTGTAAAATTGTTTGAAAACACCCTCAAACACCCTAAGACCATGGAAGGAATGTAGAGTGTTTAAAGAGATCGATAGTCATAGGAATAGGATTGGGAATGTTGAGTTTACTCATAGGAAGGTTCCTTTATTTTGTAACCTCGTGGTTTACGAATGAAATAATCTCCTTTGGCTGAGCAGAAAAAAAGCAAAGGAGTAATAAAAACAAAAACCAATGATAAATTGTAATATCTCTGACAATTAGCAGTTCCATATGAAGTTTAAAGTCACCCACCATTAGCGGGTTTTGGTGGGTCAGGATTCAGGATCACTTCCTGTTTTTCTAATTTTAAATATATTTAGTCTTCATTACAAGTAGAAATTGGCGATTTGATATCAAAACAACAATTACTCATTCATCGCAAATTTGACTTTAGTGGTCTCCTCCATCGAAGAAATTCATTCATGAAAAGGATGTTTACGGGCCAAAAAAATTTTTAATGCACTGTTTCACCGACATTTACTACTGTGCGGGAGCTCGTTTTCTTCCAAGACAACCATTTTCTACTATTAGTACTTTACTTGCGATGATATGTTGATTTCCTTAGTAATTATAATTACCTGTTACCAAGGAGCTTGTGCAGCCTAATAATGAGTTCTTCTTCTTCGGCAGAGATGTTTCCTCTCTTAATATCTGGCCTGAGATAATTCAGCCACCGAAGACGGCAACTTTTCCCACATCGCTGCAACCCTATTGTACAAAACTCAAGCGCATTCCATTACAAAGATTATTAAAAATCATGAATTCAAAGAAAAGGAAAATAAAAATAATAAGAAAAAACATCAGAAAAATCAAATTAAATCTTATAATAAAGTAAATCATGAGTTAGTACCAGCTCTTTGAGGAAGGTCTCTCCATTTCCCTTCACCATGGATCTTAATGTAGTTTATGAGGATTTTGTCTTCCCTGGCAGACCATGCCCCTCTATTAAGCCCTTCTTTAGCACAGCAAGGCCTCCTTCCCATTTGCGTACCCCTTGCTTGCTTAATTGCTATAGCCAGCTGGATATCTCTCCTTCAGTACGAGCACTCTAGCTTGGATTCTTTCACAACTTATTAGTATTATAGTTGCAGTCAACCCCTCTCTTTGCTTTCTATAAAAGAGTGAAAAACCTGTCTATTTATATACACGCAATATGCTCAACTACTTCTACACAAATTAATACACCGTATTGTGGCTGACCTTTGCATACATGGCAACTATATGAATTATATATAGTATATGTTGCCTATGATTAAAGCAAGGAATCGAAACGCATTTATTTGTCCTAAACGACAACTTGGTATCACGTTTCTTTAGTTATTTTATTTCTTTATTTTTTTTTACTATAGGAGTGTAACTGATCTTCGACTAACATTTTGTACATATATATAGTTTGAAACTTTGAATGTCGAGTCCACATTTCTTTTAGTTATAGATTTATGCACTTGTATTTTTTTTTTTTTATATCTCCAACTTATGGCATCCCTTTAACTAAAAAAATAGTATAGCATCTCTCTGTATGTTTTAATTATTAAAACAACTTGTATATGTAATCTATGGTAATTAGATCTCTTTCATTGAATATGACTTTAATTTTAGTCATGTACAAAGTATATATATATATATATATATGTATATGATAAAAAATTTTATGAGTTTATATTTAATGAACTGATAATGTATAAACTTTATATATTTTCATTAAACTATACGTTATCACATTATCAATAAATAAATTCAAAAGTTAAAAAATCTTTAAAAATAAATTAAAGTCAATTTGTATTATTTATATTTTAAGACTTTTAATTTTTTAAAATTTATTCATTAATGATATGGTAATATGACAATTTATAAATTTATATATTGTAAATGTATCAAATATAAATTCATAATATATAGATCTTTTGAAAAGGTTGCATTTGTATAGGAGCATGGTGAATTAAGACTTAAAAAGTACTTAGTATTGTTTTATCATTCTTTTTTAGGAGTAGTTTATGCTTTTAAGTCAAGAAGCTTGTTTAAAGGTAATTTTTTGGAAAGGTATTACTTTTTGTTTTAATTTGCATTATTATTATAATAAATTCAACCTTTTATGATTTTTTTTTTCAATTTGTACTAGTAAAATTCTTTGTATAAACACTGTTTTTTTTTTTTTTTTTTACATATTAATGCACTTTCCTAATTTTGACTCATTACAATTTTTAACAACATTTTGAAAAAAAAATGGAGCTAGAAGCCTGTATAACTTTTATAATAGCTGTAATAAGTGTAGCCAAAACTGAAACTTATTATTCTGCACATTGTGAGCTAAAATGCAAATATGAAAGCCTTTAATCAACTGTATTGCAATTCCTTTGCTGTTGTAGTTAGCATAGATGCCTGAAGTATCACAAAGACAAAGAGACAAAGCATAAACAAATATATGATCAAATTAAAAGTAAGTTGTGTTTGAACTAATTGAAGGAAAAGATTAAATCATTCTTATATATGCAAAAATAATAAAAAACAATGTGCTTTTTGTTTTTTTGGCAGGAGGGAGTAGGAGGCAATATGATTTATATTCAAATTCTCCATTGGAACTCCATTCTCACTCTCTTGTTAATTCTCAATGATCATTCCTAAAAAAGCATTCTCTATTTAAAGCCATACTTTTGGAAAAATACATGTTAGATCATTCGGTTAATTCTAGCTTATCGTTTGATTAGGAGTTGCCATATGATTTATGGAGCTGTTTGTTTAGCATCGGTCGTCCTTCTTATTCATCCCTCTATTATATTTTTGGCCATCGAGAACGTGTGTTTGTATGACATTCATCAATGTCCTTCAGCTACCTCTCCATTTCAAGAAAAGAACGATTATGGTTCCCATTGCTATGTTCTTTACTCGAACGACATAAAATTTCTGAAGTTGGGGAACATTTTTGTTTTGGGAGGTCATCCATGGGTCTAGAGCCTTGCCTAGAACAAGGATGTGGCGGTTGGGTCCTTGCTCCTTAATCATCTTTCAATGACTAGTGAAATTGGGACGTGGAGATCCAACAACAACAAAAAAATATAATAATAATAATAAAGCAAGCTGTTGTCATAACGTTTAGATCCGGGGATCTATCGTTAGATTTTGACTTAAGGGAGTCGCCACCAATTTTTTTTTAGTTAGGTGCGATTGGTCACCTAAATGATCTGTCCTTTCAGAAAACACCTAAGTTTAAGGGTCTCTAAAAGAATAGGTTCAGGTCTACTAACCAGAACAGGGTTCAGGAGTTCGGTTACGTGTGAGGAAGGTTATAGCACCCTCACAACGCCCATCAAAAGATGGTATCAGGTTAAATTTGTGTTATCTAATTAACCTTAAAATCTTACCAAGTAATTAATTATTGAAAATTATTCTCAATTGACTCTAATACTTTTAGCAGAAAATTGAGAAAATTCTCTCACCTCGGGAATATGCAAGAAAAACTACTGTTTCACTTACAGAGGCTCCATCGTCGGATTAATTAAGAAAAAATCAAAATAGAAAGGAAAGAAATGATGATTGTTCTTGTGTAGGAAAAATTGATACTTTTAATTTTTTCTCAAAAAATATTTTTTTAAAATTTATTTTTAAGAAAAATTGATACTTTCAATTTTTCCCCAAAAATATTTTTTTGAAATTTTGATTTTCAAAGAAAATTGATACTTTCAACTTTTCCTCAAAAACCTTTTTTTTTTAAATTTATTTTTAAGAAAAATTGATATTTTCAACTTTTCTTCAAAAATATTTTTTTGAAATTTTGATTTTCAAGGAAAATTGATAATTTCAATTTTTCCTCAAAAACCCTTTTTTGAAAATTTATTTTTAAGAAAAATTAATACTTTCAACTTTTCCCTAAAAATATTTTTTTGAAAATTTTGATTTTAATTTTAAAAAAAATAGAATAATAAAAAAAATAAATAAAAATAAAAAATAAAGAAAAGTAAAACAAAAATAAAAATAAAATAAAGATAAAAAGAATATTAAATAAACATAATCTAATAAATAAAAAAGATAAAAAAAACAAATAAACAAATAAATGAAAATAAAAAAAAAATTAAAAAAAAAAACCTGGAGCGGCTCGGCTCGGCTCACGGAAGAGAAACGGCTCGGGGGGACGGCTTGAGAAGCTCGGCTTGGCTTGGAGGGGGGCTGGCACGCGCGGGTGGACGCTCGGGTCGGGTCACGGCAAAACGCGCAGATCCTCTGGGTCACTTAAGGCTAAAACGACATCGTTTTGGGAGGGTATAAAAGGCAATTCCCTTCATTTTTCGACAGAAACCTTCTCCCCTCTCTCTCTCTCTTCTTCCTTTTTCCTCTCTTTTCTCTCTAAAAGCTGAAGAACTCCGGTGGAATGTTCGTCGGATTCTGGAAAATATTACCAGAATCTGAAAAATTTCGTCGGAAGTTCGTCGAAAGTTGGTCGGAAGGTCACCGATTTCTGGGATTTTTCGTCGAAAACTGGGCAGGTCGCCGGAAACTTCAAGTTTGGCCGAAATTTTTGTCGAAAAATTCAAACTTCGCTGGAAAATTCAACCAGAATCTGGAATTTTCAAAAATTTTCAGAAAAAAAAATCACCAAAAAGCTTTAAAAAATTTTTCTCACTCTCAAAACACTCATAAACCTTTTCCTAGCTCTCTATCCGTCCATATTCTCTCAATCAGTAGCTTTTGCTTACTGTTTTTCTGTGTTTGCATCTGCTCCAGGGGTCCTTTATATAGGGATTGATCAGGAGTTTTTGATCAATCCCAATTCCTCTTTGGACGGAATTCAATCTTTGAATCCAATCTGGACTCTCTTGATTGAATTCCCCTTTAAAGTGGGATTCTTCAACTTTTAATCCCAGCCCTCAAAAAAGAAAAGAAAAAAAAATAATGATAATAATCAGATAATCAGTAAAATCAGATAAAAAATAAAATTAACAGATAATAAAAATAAGATAAACCCAAAAAATATTACAAGATAAAAAATAATAATAAATAAATTATAATATAATAATAAATATATAACTATATAAAAATACATATACATATTAACAGAAAAGAAAAATAAATAAATAAAAATATACATATAATAATAATAAATAATAAAATACATAAAATACAAAATAAAAATACAAAATAAAAATTACATTGGGCTTACCCATTTGGACCAGACCCAATTGATCTGGGCCTGAACTCAATTGAGTGTTTACAGCCGTTTATATGTTCAAAATTTTGCTTATCTTATTAATCCATACTAATAAAAACAAAACATTAGGTACAATAATTACTCTCGCATGAGATTCACGTTGCAATTTCAAGTTTCATTTATATCACAAATTCAAAATTTTCAGGCTATCCTGCATGTAAACAACAAATACTATATATTATATTCATCAATATCAAGAAATACAACAAATTCTAACAAAATCAATAAAAAAAAAGTTTTGGGACTTGGAAAAGTCGCAGTTGGAGTGAAATTAACAATGAAACGTGATCTGAGAATGCAAGGAAGCAAAGACAATGAGGTTCTGTATCAATGGCAAATAAAAAAATCTTAAATTCTTTAAGTTTCAATTTCTTTTATGAATGTATTATTCAATAACAAGTTTATTATTTGATTGTGATTGTGATTGTAATGTTTTATCATTATAGTGTATATATACATATTTTTAAAACAAACAAAATCCAATGTCCGAAACCTACCTGCATGCGTATTGGATCGCATGTATCTATCTATATCTATCGTTCAAAGAGGGCACATGATTTCACCTACTGGCTACTACCGAAGCCATGAGGGATTCCAGACATGTCCTGATTTACAAAGTGGGCCACTGTTTTACTCGATGGAGACATAACAATAATATTTCTCAAATACCCCCGTCCTAGCTTCATGGCTGTATATTCCAGCAAATATGGATCTCGTATACAAGATTTTGTTTGTCATTTTTTTATTGATTAAATGTTTAATTTAGAATTTAATATTTGATTTTTTTTCAATTAAAAATATCATCTTTAATTCGATTTAATATAAAATTAAATATTTTGAATTAATTCAAAATAAAATTACGTCATTACAACTTAACATATGCACGTTAAATTAAAGTGATTTTTTTTAATTATAAAACTTATATATTTATGTTTCTCTCTAATTAAAAAAAAGCATTTCTCTCTAAAAAAAGAATTGCCCAAATTTCTATCGTCATCAGCACCACGCAGGCTGCTGTCTATCACTGCCGACCGCCGTTGACTGTCTTGACTGGTCACTTTTCCATCCCAAAATTTCACCGGATTAATAATGGATCTCGTTTCCAAAAATGGATCAAGTGCCTTACGTCGTCATTGCGTGATGATACGATTAATAATATAATCTTAGAGAGATTGACGGATAAAAAAAAAAAAAAGGCTTCTCTGTCTGTAAAGAATCCAATTCTTTTTACCTCTTTGTTATAATTACTTACTACTGTAAAAGGAAAGGACCCAATTTTTTAACACCACGTCAGGCTTTTGGGCTTTTTAAGAGAATGACAGAGGAGAAAGAAATACTGGTAAAAAAAAACCTATTCTACCAGCTTTGATAACAACATTTATGGTTGACATTGCGGCTTGGCAATTGGCATGCATCTTTAATATAAATTTTTCTGTTCAAAATTTTACTAACAAAATTTTTAAATTTCAAATAATTGCTGAGTATTACAAACAAATTATTAAAGGGTCTTTCATCCTATAAGAATTATATAAGAGAATAAAAAGTAAATAGCAAAAGCATCAATCAAGGAATCTTCATTAATTAATTAGTTATTATTAGCTCATAATTAAATTTTGATTGATAATCTTCGGCTTGCCCCATTTACAAATTGACAGGTGGATCATTTCTTGCTCAAAACATGCAAATCATCGCCCATCAACCACTTTTCCAGGATGGCATCGTACGTTTCAATTAAGGTCTGAAAATTAAAATAAAACATCAAATAAAAAAAAAATTGAAACATGGGAGGAGATTAAGAGTAAAACAACAGGTAAGAGTCCTAATTAAGCAAAAGTAATGTGATGTTTGAATGAATGCTGCAAAAGGTAAACTTTAACTGATCAAAGCTGTTAATAAAAACGCAATTTGGCTACGGCTTTCTGTATCTGATTAGAGATCAAGTAGTTGAATTACATAAAAGGGAATCGTGGACCACTTCTGTTCCCCATAGATTCGCATTCTGAAGGATTGCATACGAAGCCTTTGATTTCAAAAATATATATTTATAGTTGAGTAGAAAATTCTTCGAAATTGAAGGTTAAAGGATGGTTTGATCCGATAATTAAACTGTGTTTAGGTCAACAAGTTCAATAATTTTTTATCCAATCCGATGATTAAAATCAGAGCACCACAATCTCTAATAAAAGCACCGTTGAATCACGTTCTTTCAAATTATTGTCAGTAACTAGTTGATCAATATTATCAATAATTGTTGGCCCTCGGTTTAAGTGTTGCTTCCGTAATTGTTGTCAATAATTACCTTTTTTTTTTTTTTTTCTCCCCTCTTATCTTTAATTTTATATCCTCATTTCCTTCTGGTTTAACTCTACAATTAATTGGGTCATCTCGTTAAAGTAAGAAATATTAATTAATTTTGATTTTCATGTCTTTTGAACCTTAGCACAATATTACTCATGATTTGCCAAAAGGAAAGCCATGTTATATGGTTTCATAGACGAGGGAGGAAGGGAAATATATATATATATATATATATATATAGACACACACACATAAAGAACTTAAAAGTTTAAGTTGTAAAATCTATTGAATTGATGAGTATGGTGTGTAAAGCATTTAATTTAAAATTAATTGACAACAAGTGAAGAGGTCAATTTAAATATAAAATTATAAGAAATTAAATATTTTTTAGATATGAGATAATATCACTTTAATAGACACTCATCATATATAGACGAAAATAAAAAAAAACTTATCATGTGATAGATTTAAAAAAACCAATAAAAAAAAATCTTGACTCTTATAAGATGTTTGAGAATTATCTTATATTCTAAAGGAACTTAAAAGCTATAAGATCTATTGAATTGATGAGTATGATGTATTAAGCATTTAATTTAAAATTAATTAATAATAAGTGAAAAAATTCAACTTAAATATAAAATTATAAAAATTTTATATTTATTAAATATAAAATAATATTATTTTAACAAACTTCAATCACATGTAAATGAAAGTGAAAAAAATTTATCACATGATATTTGAAAAAAAATATTCTAATTTTAATATAATGTTCAAGAATTATCTTATATTATATTGATTCAGAAGTGAATGCCGGATTTGAGAATGTATCCGACATGACATGTTTAATTTTTGAAGTTGTAACAGATACAAATAATAAAAAAAAAAATGAAAAATCCAAGCAACACATTTTTAATGATAGAACATGATCTTTTTGGAATCCTGGGAGCGTGGAACCCATATTTAATTTCTGACGTGAAGAGTCCAACATTTCTGTAATAATAATATATGACAAAAAAACGACCAAAGCAATAGCGTAGTTTGCTGTTTTACGTTAAGAAAAAAAAAATTTTGCAGTAAAATATAAAGTCTTTTATACATGCAAACATATTTTAATTTGTTGAAATTTATATAATATACATACAAACATGCATGAATCATGATAATTATAAAACCAGACGACGTAATAGTGATGGACTTGGAATTAAACCGACCATGATAGAAAAACACCTTCACGGCGATAATTATATTGTTGAATTTTTTTTTTTTTTGAGTTTTTCGTGTCCAATAATCATTTTAAATTTTGATTAATTCAAAATTAAATTAAATCGAATTTCATAAAAAAATAAATTTTTTTAAATTTATTTTTTTTATTTATAAGATTTAAAATTGAGATCTTGTTTAAAAAAAATTAAGTTTTTTATCATTCGAATAAATAAATGTTGATATTATTACATGTATTTTATTTTATTATATTTTAATTTATTAATTTTTCTCATGTGACGATATATAAATGTGTCTTACCCATTTTTCATGACAACCGTTCATCAAATATAGCACATTTCCTTTCGAACAAAGTTCATAAATGAAAGAATGCAGAGGGACCATGTACCTTGATAATCGTTTTGTCACCGTCCTAATTTATTTTTCACTATAATTTTAATGTTTGACAAGAAAAGGACTAACGGACAACTATAGTGGTGCAAAATATATGAATTACTGACATTATTGCTTGAGTTTTCATATGGTTATATTACGAGGACTCGACCTCACAATTTTTTGCCAATATTACTATTCACAAAAATTTTTTTAAATAAATTAATTTATTAAAATTTAAAATTTTAATTTATTATATGAATTAATTAAATTAAATTTTAAATTAAAAAAATAATTTGAGAAAACAAAAATTATATCTTAAACCTTCCTTTTAGTCCAGCCATGAAATTTCAACAATACCAACGGCAGGAAACATCATAAAGTATAAATTTAACGGGCAAAGAAAAAACGCCTTAGTTAGTCTTTGCAGAATTTGGGTGTACGTAGGTGATCGGTTAGTCCTCTCTATGCTACAATGACAAAAGAAGAACGTTTTAAAATGATGTAAAGCCAGAGTCCCAGGGCCATTGATTTTTGTCAGTTTCGACCCCACATGATATCACTCTCCAATTAGTGAAGCCTTGTCGTTTTGACTGGTAATTATAAAGAGATCTCTCATTAAGCACTTCATATACTTGCTTTATTGTCTCGGGTGAATGTCAATTGTACGTGTAAGAAGATTTATGTATGCATCTGCTTGAATATGAATCTATCTTCCATAAAAAAATGTATCCTCCTTAGTTTGACTTCTGATCGAAATTAATGATGGTCGTAGGCTCTTCAAATCCTTCACATATATAACAAGAATAAATTAAATTTTATATCCCACAATTTTGAAGTCGATTATATGAAAAATTAAAAAAAAATTATGTTAAATCATAGCTTTTAATTTTGTTGTACCAATCATTTTTATATAATAACTAATATAAATTGTAAATAATAAGAGTAATAAAAATTTTTTTTAATGATATGATTCATTCTAAGGAACATTTAGAACTTGAATGGCTATGTTGAAAGTTGAGGAGAAAAGAAAAAAAAAAAATCAAAAGAAAAGAAGGAAAACATAATTGCTTACCTTGTTTTGTCGAAGAAGGAAAAAAACCAACGCAGATAAATTGATATTTGAGATGCTGGTTAGTTCCAAAGGCAAAGAAGTCAGATCGTTCAATGATTGGGATAGAAATACAAAGGAAGATACTCCGATAGAGCAGGCTATTAAAAATAATTATGGACCTCGTTGCCTAAATATAATTCCTTCTTTTGGGTTCTTTAGCCCAAATAAAATCTTTTGATACATGGGACTTGGATCAAATATAATTTATGCAACAATGGGTTGGTAGCTCTTCTCAAAGGAACAGATTACAAGACCTGTCAATTTCAAGGGGTAGAGGGTAAAGAAAAAAGACAAGGAGACGAGTAATGGGCAAAAGTGCAGGGACTAGAAAAATCGTCTCCTGTATCTTTTCATCTTTGGCTCTCATTTATAAAAGGAAAGTTTTAATTGTTTCCAATGCGGTGTGTAAGGTTGAATTGTTCTGTTCCTAACCGATATTTGTACCTCTGAAGCATAGGAATTGAAGAGTTGCCAATGCTATGAATTTGGATGAGGCAAACTGCTGAAACTCGTGAAGTCTACTGACCAACTTCAGGATACCAAAATAAAACAAGTCAACCAATTGACTTTTTCCTCACAACAGTGTCTTCCAGGAATTATGTCCAAAATTTGTTGCGAGTTATAATACTCAGTATGATTTCAATCCTCAATCAAACATACTTATTATCCAAAACGAAGAAAAGAAAACAAGCATTAGCATGCTATAATACAAAGCAATGGTTCCAAATAAAAGATACATTCAAGATAGCCATGCAAAACCTTGCAACCAAGTTCGATCCGTCTCATAATTATTCAATGTTAAATATTGTTCCAAAAGCTTCCATTAAACAAGAAACAAGATTTTATTTGTAGTTAATAATCTATCAAAGACTCGATGGCGACGAAGTTGGCACCACATAATCAACAACAATGACACCATCCAGGTAATCCCTAACCTTCTGCTTCTGTAGGTTCACATACTCTTCATTTCCCTCTGCTGCCTCCATTTCTTTAACTCCAGCAAAGACAGCAACTGAGGCAAGTGAAAAGCCCTTAGCTCTTGCAGGTGAGAAATTCTCCCCGCAAGTGATATGTTGAATACCAGAGATCCCCTCCTTAATCCCTTTAATTACCCCTAAAATCTCACCTTGCACGTCATCGGTAACATTCTCTTTTAGTTTCAGGAAGGTTACTTTGATGTCAGAACTAGGGGCGGGGACAATGGGGCAGGATCAATATCAGCAACCCAATCAACAGCCATGACATCATCACAGATGGGGAGGACGTTTTCCTTGACCACACGCTGGTGATCAGGATGTGCGGAATAGGTGTTCAAATCCTCTTTGGACTTGTAACGGCTATGGAGCATGTGGGTAAAATTGGAGATCGGAGATGTGGTGCGAAGGACGGGACCAGCAGTGATGTGAAGGACAGGATCAAGAGAGACCAAGCCATTAAGGCCGTTGAGCATCAAGTTGACCTTTGCCTGGTCCGTGTCATCTTTGACCTTGAGAAGAACCACATGCTCAATGATGGACATGGTGACCGAGGATTTAGAGGTTTTGGTAGATAAAGTGAAGGGTCTTTTCAGGCGTTTGGAAGAAGAGAAAGTAAGGGGAAAGAGAGGGCGAGCTTTCAAACACAGCATCAAAATCAACTAGTAGACTAGTAGTGGGAGTAAAATTAACAAAACTTCAATGTACCTGTAAATTTGAGATGATGAATTTCCTTACAAATGTAGATCAAAACTTACAATCAAACACAATTTCAACAAATCCAAAATTTAAACGAACCCTCTTAAAATTATAAGAATCTAAAAGCAACATTAACATTAGTCTATCAAATTAAAAGTGATAAGTACCCATTTGGGAGAAATCCCTATACCATAACACAATCTCTAACAAAAAAAAATAAAAATCAATCAACAAAGCCCAAACCCATTATTCAGAAATGAGTAAAAAGCAGAGACTAATAATCAAAACCCAGTCGATGCAACCAAATGAATCTTTATAAGTTCTCTTTATCAAGAAAAACTAAATATAAAGCTAACAGAAATTTGAAGATTAGCTGAAGCATACACAAACGATTAAAATAGCAGAAAATTAAAATTAAAATTAAAAAAAAAAAAAGAAGAAGAAGAAGATGAGATAGTGGAGTGATACGGACCTGAGAGAAAATATTGCGGCCAAACATTGTGGTGGAATTGGAACGAGAATTGAAGGGAAAGAGGATTCGGACTATGGGGTCTTGGCTTTGTTGACCAAAGAAGGTAAGAGCACGTGCGGGTACGTGGGCCGAAACAAGACTCAGTAGGGACTTGGGCCCATTGTAACATGAGGCCTGGGCTGCCTGGGCTGAATGTTATACTGACCAGGCCATGTCAATTTATTTTGAGATTAAATTTTTTGTTGATATTTTTAAAAAAAATTTACTATAAAATAAGAATTATTATTTTATATATTTTCGGTGAAGTTTTAAAGTTCGTAATTCCATATCCATTACCAATCTTCTAAGTTCTAATCCACATGGCATTTAAAAAAGTTCACTAACGATATATGGGACAATTTTTTATAAAATAAAATAAAATATAAAAAACTAATATCATAACTAATTGAAAATGAAAAAAAAAATTTTAAATGTAACACCAATAATATAATTAATCTATATAGAAGTAAAATCATATAATATATTGTATCATCCAATTAAAATTAAAATCATATTATAATTAGCTTTATATTTAGTTTTTGAAATATATATGTTGTATTTGAGGTATATATTTTGTCATCTAAATTAGGAATTAAAAATGAAAGTGGGATTGTGATAAAAGAGACATGACAAGTGAAGAAAGTTGAGTTAGTGCGCCAACCTTAGACAAAAAGAACGAGTAACCAAATTTGTGGTGGAAAATATCAAACATGGAATGAAAGGAATAAGTTTCCATTCCACCATGAGATGATGTTCTGCATGTCAAGCACGTTCAAACTAAACCACATGCATCCCTCTTGCCTACTCATATGCACATTGCCACATTGGACCTAACCTAATGGCTCAACTCTCACTCCACCTGCTGTAATTTTTATTGCCTCCTACCAAAGAAAAAAAATATTATTTTTGGATGAGAAATAAATTATCCATATTGAGATTTAAATTTTATATTTATTATTATTAAATATCACTTTTTGCAAAAATTATATGAACAAATTATATTAAATATGCTTCATATGACACTACTCAAATTTGGTAATTAATCAACTTATTTGCAATGAATATTTACATATTATAGACTTAATTAAGGATTGAACATTTATAACCTTTTTTTGAGAACCAGTTCAGGAGAGAGATTTTATATAAATATATAAATAGATATATATTATATATTGTTTGATTTATATATATTGTTCAGGAGAGAGCTTATATATATATATATATATATATATATATATGTGTGTGTATATTGTTTGATTTGTTTATTAAATTTTTTCAAGTGCCGAGAAAAGAACAAGGAAACCAACACCATCAGTTGATGCCAAAAGCAGCCTTTGGTACCAAAAATAACTCACGGCGGCGTTTTTCAAGTTCCTCAGCTCACTTACAAATTACAAGTAACTGCTGTTATTGGGTTCAGTGCTTTTTCTTCAACCTGTCTCTGTCTTGGTGAGCCTTCAAAAATGTGAAATTATATTTCTCTGTCTCTTTATCTTCTTACACTGTTCAAATGCCATTGCCCAATGCCTGAGTACTCATTATTTCATTCCAAGTCATGAAGTAGCTGTTGCCTGAATCCCTTCATTAGTTTTTTACTCTGTGAGGGTTCTGCAGATATTGTTTTGCTTAATACTTTTTCTGTTTATCCCGCTCCACTGCAAATAGGAGTAACAGTTTTTAAAATGTCTCTTTTATTTTGTGTTCTTTTGTTGATATCATTATTTTCTTTGGTTTATATATACTTTAAAAACCTGACCTGCACCTCTTATTGGGGTTTTTGGATTAAAACGAAGGCATTTGGCAATGTTGAAATGACAGTAAATAAGTCATCACCATGTTAAAATTTGTTAATCAAGCAATGGGTTTATTGATTTTAATTAATTCTAATCAGTCAGCATTGCATAAGAATATGCTCATTGTTTAACTGTTGTTTTACCTTTGCCCTTTTTCATGCATTGCATGTAGAGAGCAAAGTAGCAGAATCGTCTCTAATTTGGCCGTGTAGCTGATGTTTGAACTTCAGGGTTTATCTTTGTACTGTGAATGCATATTTGCTATCCCAACACAGATACCATTGATTTCTTTTGAGTTCAAATGTTTATCATTAGCACTATCAATGGACTTTCAATTTCAAATCATGGTATCTAGGCTTCTTTATTGGTTTTACATATGATCTTTTAAACAATGAAACACCACAAGAACTTATATGGATTCTTATGCTTGCTGTGTATTGCTAGATAAGTGATTCCTGACACTTCGGTTTATCTTTTTACTCACAATAATCTAACAGTTTTGTAACTTCCTGGAATTTATTGCTTTCATTGCAGGAAGCTACTGATAATTGTAATAAATGAATGAATGCATTGGCAAATTGAAAGTGAAACATTCTAGGACATTTATCATGTCAAATGATTATGTCAAAGTTCAAAGGAGACCAATTATGAAGCTCTTAACATGCCCCCTTTATCCACACCTTTACAGGGAAGCAACTACTATTTGTGTCTGCCTTCATACATGTAAGTTTTGCCCAATGTTTGCTTTTCTTCATTGGTTACATGCTCACGTTATTTCATATCTGAGGTAAACAATTAGAAATTTTCTTTATATCCTTCAAAGTTTGGGAGTTTTAAAGGCTCGCTGGTTACCCGTTGTGAAGAAAATTAATTTTATGTATCATCTTGAACTTCAGCAATCCTCCAAAAACTTTGCTCAACCATTTTAAGCAGCAGAACCTTAAGTTGTATGTATCAAAGAGTTTCTTCTGTGTCACTGCTTTACATTATCTTACTGTGAAACCAACACAAAAATACTCTTCTTTCTCCTCCACTAATTTGAAATTTAGCTAAAAATACCCAGGACTTGCGAATATGGTTCCGAGAAATCTCCTATAAAATCTTTTGAGGGATCCGTTCCTAAGATGATTTCTATGTTTTGGAGTTACCTGTTCATCTAAAGGCAACTATATTCCTACTTCAAAACTGCTCATGAAACGGTATGCACCTATATTGGATACGAATGGACTGATTTTATAACTATTGGACTATTCTACATAAGCCTAAGTTCGTGAAGTTCAAATGAAAAAGGTAAATGGTATATATTCTGGGAAGGAGCAAAAATCAAACTCATTATCCACTCATGTCAAATTTCCTTAAATATGAGAAGGATACTCACAATGTGCTGGTAATGTTGATATGTTTAATTCCTTGACATTCAATTTAACTGTGTCCTGCAGTTTGCAAACAGTGTGTCTATCAAAAACTTGAGAAGGACAAAAGAAATCGCTGTCCAGTGTGCAACGCCTATCTTGGTTCCTTTCCTGAAGAACTGTTAAGGTAAATAAAAGTCTCTTATTTTATTTCTTTTGCAGCATCTTTTCTATAGATTATTTAGAACAATATTACATCAGTTATATATACACAACTGCTTTTCTTTTTCTTTGTCTAAATGATTCCAGATTATCATTTTATATCTCCATGTATTACTAATGCTGAACAGAACATGGAGCTGTCCTATGTTACTCATGAGTCTTTTCTTTACTGCTTTCAATTCTTGCTGTTTTTAATGCTAGGGTCCTTGTCCCTTGACATTACTTCCATCCTTTTTCTTTTTTAGAAATGACCATAACTTAGAGGAGCTTGTAAAGCAAATTTTTCCTGTCGAAAAAACAAATGAAGAGGAGAGATTAGCAGCTTCACCTGTTAAAATTAAAATTGCAGAAACTGTTGCACCTACTTTAACCGAAGCAAACACACAGCATCGAGATTTCAGCGTGTCAAGAGAAGCCAAAATAATTCATGACGACCAAGATGTTGCTGGGAATAATCTTCATTTGAACCAAACAGCAAATAAAATCTCCAATCGTTCTATAAATGCTATCAAGAAGCAGGTATCATTCTTCTCTGACATATTGTCTCTTAATGCTGAAACAATTTTAGTCATCTCATAGCATGTTGCATTACCTTGAGTATCTTTTTCTTTTGCTCTTTTCTTTCAAGTATCAGAATGAATTAACAGATTTGGAAATGCCTAAAATTGCTTCTGTTATATCTGAACCTATAGCCCTTGCATTTTATCTAAAAAATTCAAAGAAAGGTCCATGCTGGGAACATCTGGCAGGCCATGAATAAGGTGAAACTTACAAGTCTATCTTGAATAAAACTAAGGTTAATGCACAAGTGAAGAGGAGAAGAAGGACAAAGAGAAAGCCTTGCAAGTTTCTGACTGGTCAAAGAGAGAAAGGTTCAAAGATTGGGACTGAGAAAGAGATGTTAAAACCTGGTCCAAGTGGCCTTGGGGGGTCAACTGATTCAGCAAATCGATGTGGAGAAACTGTATCTCGAAAGGAACTTCCTGGTTAATCTCCCCGCCCTGTCTGGTTTTGTCTGCTTGCATGTCAAGAAAAGTAAGAAACATTTGAATGACAAAGACTTCTTTATTTTTTCTGCCTCAGAGTTAAAAGTTTTCTTCTATTTCTTACAGGAAAGGCATGGCATTGCCTCAGATACCAAAACCCTTTATCAGTACTAAGTAAGTAAATTGTATTACAGGAACACAATAACTGAGGAATATTACATAGTAGAACAATTCAGGCTTATTTACAATGTCTTTGGTCTTGTCATTAAATATGATTTGAAAATGTCCGCTCAACTTCTTGTATGGGATGTTAAATGTGACAAATGAAGAAGATCTACTCACCTTGCAACTGTAAATCTTGTTGACTCCTCATAACTCCTAAATGCTTAGTTATCTCAAATGTGTAGAGACACTTGCTAAATTGTTGTGCAGTTGAAACAAAGTGAGAAAGCTTTCATAAGCAGGGTTCTGAATTCTGATATCAAAATGAAGGCTGTTAATGATGGTTAGCAATAAAATTGCAACTGTCCTGAGAGAACTTTGTTAAATTATTTCAAGGCTTTCTTAGCCGAAGCTTATGTTAAGTAGTCATCTTTTCCATGACACCGTAGTTCCTGTATATTTATCTTTGATGTTAATGGGGATTGTGCATTGCATATTAATTTGTCAATCTACCATTAATTTATTTTTAACA